ATTGATTTGGGCCTCGATGGATTCCTCCAAATAACTTTGGTCATAATATCAATAATCCACTTCTGTTTATTGATTACATCAATGCCAAGAATATTCTCGGTGTCGAGACAATACCAAATGTCGATGTTAGATTTCACTAGCCCAGATACTTCAAAGGCAACTGTTACTGACTCAAGATACTTGAATTTCTTTACAAAAGCTTTAATCGTAGCTGAGTCTTCCTCATTTTCTACTCCAAATATAATTTTCTATGCTTTGGAAAATGTATTTTTAAACTCAAAAGGGTTTTCTTCAGCAGTAGTCTGTAGTAAGTCTAGCATTTCTATAGAAGGTACGTCCTCACCAGTTGTACATAACAGCAACTGTCGCAGTCTGTCTGTCGCGTCTCTATGTTTTTCCTGACTTTCACCGTCAATAACAGAATTTTTTATTCGAGTCATAAACGGCAACCATAAATGAAATAAATGATTTATTTGATTATTTGAAAGCCTATGACATTCTGCGTGAATCTCAAATGCTTCCATGTTGCTAAACACGTCTTTCTTTGAATCACAAGCAGGGATGTTTTTTAAAACGTTCATTAATTGGTTATGTATTTGCAACGTAAGTTTTGCAGTTTTACATAACAATTCTTTATGTTTAATTTGTGCTTCGTCATCAGAGTCAATATCCGAACTTTTGGAAATATCGGACGGTCGTGGCTCTGATCTTGAATCATTCTGTTTGTCATCTGTGTTTATCATGGCAACCTGTTTACTGTCATTCTGCAGTCTTAACAAAAGATTTGTTTTTGAATGAATTTCATCCTCAAGATTTTCAATATAATTACAAAAAATTTCAGTTTGGGCAATTAAGAGCATCTTGGGACAAATTTGCATGCATTTCTGTGTTCTGTACAGTGCTACATTCTGCTTTAATGTATAAGCTTTTTTAACAGTTGTAAATCAACATTCAAAATCATTTTATTGAATATTCTTACTAAATTTAAGATATTAGATATCTTTTTACGCTGTCTGTTTACAGAAAATCTACATTTTTCTATCTGAATATTGGCCTGTAAACATTCATTGTACATGTACATAAACAATCATCATCAAGATATAGAGAAACATCTTTAAACTCTAGCTTGCTTTCTCTAGCTAATTCATCAATAAATTCCATAATTATTACTCACCGTAATCATCAGATTTTGTCGTTTGACCCGGCTCAGTCACTGGACCTCTTTCCACGTCTGTTCAATCGCCTTGTCTTGTGTGTTCTTTTATCGTGTTTTCCCCAGACTTGACCAAAGAACTGTGATTTCTCCGCCTTATCAAGGAAGCGGAAAACTGGAGAAAAACTGTGGAAGAGGCTGGCACACCATTAATGTTGGATTTCTGAGACACATATAATACTTTTTTAGTGTCTTGAGGTGATTTTTGCAAATGAAAGAGCCGGTGAGATAAAAAATAAAGTGTGATTTTATTTTATCAAACAATGGCTTAAAATAATACTGTAAAGCGTATCATGAACAGTTCCATGTAGAAAAAAAACAGAAATATCATAGCAGAAGTTTAAAGATGTGTCACCCTTATGTCCATTGTCTCATGTCCTTCTTCCATGTTCAGTTTGTCCTTCAGGGTCTTTGGGAAGAAGCCAGAATTAGACCGAAGTGACTATTTCTTGTCTGACAGTATGCACCTGTTCCAGCTTCTCAGCTTTGCTTATGCATATCTGTATGGATAGACCGACATGTGTGTTTGTGCGTGTGTCCCCCTGTCCATCTAGGATGCCTTTTTATGATGCATGTATGCGTCATAATTAGTGATCTTAGAACCTTGTATGGCAAACAATACTGCTTAGCAGAGCAATTTCATTGAAGGGAGGGGAAGCTACATATATGGTCTTTTGATTGACAGGCACATATGTAGTGACCATAATAATCTGGTGATGTTACATCAGCTTGTTCATCTTTAAATGATAATATAAATTAAGAATGTATCTTTACCAAATCTCAATAATGTTAAGTAACCACAAATCTACATATGTTACATTACCAACATATAAAACATAAGCTAAGTACATACAGATACTATTAGTATATATTATGTAAGACTTATTCTATTTTGATTCACTTCTAACACCCTTGACATTCTACACCAGAGTCCTGTAACCAGCTATGCCCTATTATAGAATACTCAGCTCTCAGCTGGTTAGCTAGCTCAGCTGTCTCAGCTTAACTGAAGAAATTAACACTATCACTGGCTCAAGGCGACCATTCACACATTTTAATATTATGATTAATCATAAAAAAAACAAATATTTTGCAAGCTTGCCATTAATATAAGTGCCGAATTATGAATTTGATATAATTAATATTTATCAGAAATGCTCAGAGTGAGCATGTGCAGTAGCTGCCAACACTGCTCAGCAAAATCCCCAACTGCATTGGGGACATGGACAGAAGGGGGAGAGAGAGAGCAGCAAGGATCAACCAGGTTTTTGGCAGAATACAGAAACTAGTCCCACAGTGACTGAGTGAGTATGAACAGCATGGAATACACCATTTATTGATAGTAGTGACATTTTAAGTTCATTCACATTTATTTTATTCTTGTTACATTGTAGCAGACTGAGGTATCATATATGGGAAGATCCATTTCAGACAACTCATGGCAACCAATCAAATTCAGACCTGCCCTGAAGAATGATCCTTGGAGAATAAAAGTTGGAATTTGATTCCTATGAGCTGATTCCATTTTTCCCATCGAGAGTTTTATAGATTAGATGTCTGTCAGTGTGGGGACTTCATATTGTTTCTGTGGCCTCATCCACACAACACATGAGGTAAGGCACTACTCTTATTCACACCTCAACAATCCTTTAGAATGCAACGCCTGACGCAACATGTAGTGTATATTGTGTTGGAGCGCAACCGTTATAAATGGCCACCACAACCTGCTGCAATAACTCTCAATGCAGGAAAACACGTGCGCTGTGGTGGTGACGTTCATCCTAAAGGTCACATACAATAATTGCACTTCAACACTTTGCTATTCTGCCCTGAGATTCCAACAAAATATTACTTCAATGACACAGATCCCTTTTTTTCGCACTGCAAATAATGTGGTACTGTCTATGTACGGTATTTGTGTCTAAAGTGAGTTTTGCACCAAAGAGCTTACAGTCTAAAGAGAATAAAGAGGAGGGCAGAACAAAGAAGTGTAGTATCTGCAGCTTGGAGGATGGATATATCTTAGTAGACCAGATACATGGAGGAGAAAACTATAATCAGCTGAAATAAGCTGGGAGAGGCCAGAGGGTGGAGTCACTGGTTTTCCAAATGATGGGTGGAAATGGGGGTGAGAACCTCCGTCTGAGCTTCCTTTATTGGACCGATAGAGCAATGTGTGGTCACGGCACAAACCAACTAAATAGCACTTTATGTGTTGTAACCGTCCATTGGTGAACCATCTCATCACTGATATTGCTTGGATTTTCTGGGACAACCTCAACCATAACTTTCTATGGAAGACAGATGGACCATCATGGCTCCTCCATGCAGTCTTTCCCAATATTATTGACAACATGGAGTTGGTTCTGTGTAGTTACATGGTGTCAAATGGAGGATGAAGTTCTGCTGATCCACCATGTCACCTATAAAACACTATTATTGGAAATGTGCAACTGGTGATGCCATAGGGGCAAAATTAATCTTCCACTCCACCCCCTTCCACCTGTCCAGCAAGAAGCAGCCGGCTTTTCCCTATCTGAGGCTCAGTGAGTGAAGATCAGAGTCCCAGAGAATGAGTGCAGCACATGAGGAGTTGTGGAGCAACAAGCCATGGAGATCCCAGAGAATATAGACAATGGGAGGCTAGGACCTCCACCTCCTCGTCACTCTCTGGTCCTTCACGATGGAGTTCCTGTGTGCTTGTTTCCTCTGGAATTATTTATCAGTGTTTTATGGCAGCTGTAGACAAGTGATGACGCCACACTCTGACAATATTATATCCCGATCAGACCGAGGGGCACTAAGGCCTCGTTTACACTTGCTTCATGTGGCATTGGACACACTTTTTTTAAAGCACTCAGAATGCCAATCAAAGCCCACTAGGCTAAATAAAATGGTTACCTTACTTTCCTGTTCACAATTGTGCTTGCTTTGCTTTACTTCAAAAATGATCCCCCATGTCGCTTTCTTGGTGCTTCATAGCAGCTCCAATGCCTCCATAGAAGTCTATGACAACATTCACTTACAGCACCTGCAGCTTGTCAGAGGCTTTTATTCAGAGTTAGCTTTTGCTTGCTTTGGAGTATTGGAGGTATGAGATATCCCAGGATGCACTGGGAAACCACAAGCAAGCTGGAAAGACGTCATCAGCAGTCACTTCCATTTCCTGTGGATATATTCTGGGAGTGTCTGGTGCAGACGCCACATCTGGTGTGCAGCGTGGAGCAGCAGGAAGGTGAGCGGGGTCCAGACCAGAGCAGAGCAACTAAAAGATGGCACATGTGGTGTGCAACATAGAAACGCTATAGCAGAAGGTGAGCGGGGACCAGAGAGACAGGACTGAGCAATATAGCGGGAGTTGAGTGGGAGAGAGAGGAGGATCAATAAAACAGAGGATCAGGAGAGATGGAGGTTACTACTGAGTGGAGGATCAGCAGAGCTGGGGGTACTAGTGAGTGAGGGGATCAGCAGAGCTGGGGGTTACTATTGACTGGAGGATCAGCAGAGCTGGGGGTAGTAGTGAGTGGGAGATCTGCAGAGCTGGGGGCTGCTACTGAGCGGGGGATCTGCAAAGCTGGGGGAACTACTGAGCAGGGGATCTGCTGAATGAGAGCACTAATATAAGCACTTGCTGAACAAGGGTACAAATGGGCTGGGCCCATTTAACACAAATAGAAAATCAACACACACAGGGCATTTGCCATGCTCCAGTAAAGCATCACTGAAACATCAAAAAAGCCTGTTGAAGCTGTAGGCGCTTTAATGTACTTAAAAAGCCCTCGCTGGACCCCACCAACCTGAACAATCTAAGACCCATCTCCCGCCTCCTGTTTACCTGTAAACTCCTAGAATGCTTAGTCTACAATCACCTGAGCTCCTCCCTCACCGACAACAACCTTCCTGACCCTTTACAGTCTGGCTTTCACTCACTGCACTCCACTGACACTGCCCTACTAAACCTCACTAATGATTTACTAACTGCTAAAACCAATGGCCACTACTCCGTACTCATCCCAACCAATGGTCACTACTCCATACTCATCCCAACCAATGGCCACTACTCCGTACTCCTCCCAACCAATGGCCACTACTCCGTACTCATCCCAACCAATGGCCACTACTCCGTACTCCTCCCAACCAATGGCCACTACTCCGTACTCATCCCAACCAATGGTCACTACTCCATACTCATCCCAACCAATGGCCACTACTCCGTACTCCTCCCAACCAATGGCCACTACTCCGTACTCATCCCAACCAATGACCACTACTCCGTACTCCTCCCAACCAATGGCCACTACTCCGTACTCATCCCAACCAATGGCCACTACTCCGTATTCATCCCAACCAATGGCCACTACTCCGTATTCATCCCAACCAATGGCCACTCCGTATACTCCGTACTCATCCCAACCAATCGCCACTACTCCGTACTCATCCCAACCAATGGCCACTACTTTGTACTCATCCCAACCAAAGGCTACTACTCCATGCTCATCCCAACCAATGGCCACTACTCCGTACTCATCCCAACCAATGGCCACTACTCCATACTCATCCCAACCAATGGCCACTACTCCATGCTCATCCCAACCAATGGCCACTACTCCGTACTCATCCCAACCAATGGCCACTACTCCGTACTCATCCCAACCAATGGCCACTACTCCGTACTCATCCCAACCAATGGCCACTACTCCATGCTCATCCCAACCAATGGCCACTACTCCATGCTCATCCCAACCAATGGCCACTACTCCGTATTCATCCCAACCAATGGCCACTACTCCCGTACTCATCCCAACCAATGGCCACTACTCCATACTCATCCCAACCAATGGCCACTACTCCGTACTCATCCCAACCAATGGCCACTACTCCGTACTCATCCCAACCAATGGCCACTACTCCATGCTCATCCCAACCAATGGCCACTACTCCAAACTCATCCAAACCAATGGCCACTACTCCGTACTCTTACTACTTGACCTCTCTGCGGCTTTTGATACTGTTGACTATCCCCTACTCCTAAAAAAAAACTCAATTCTCTTGGCCTCAGAGATTCTGCTCTCATCTGGTTTTCCTCCTACCTATCGCAGCGCTCCTCAGCGTTACCTATGACTCTGCCTCCTCCTCTCCACTTCCTCTTTCTGTAGGGGTCCCTCAAGGTTAGGTCCTTGGACCCCTTCTCTTCTCCACCTACACCTCCTCCCTTGGTCACTTGATAAACTCCCATGGCTTCAAGTACCATCTCTATCTTTCTCCTCTTCACCTCACCCCTTCAGTCTCCTCTCGCATTACTAACCTACTAAGTGACATATCAGCATGGAGGTCACTGAACTTCCTTAAACTCAATCTTTTGAAAACTGAGCTCTTAGTATTCCCCCCAGCCCGTGCCCCCTCCCCCGACTTCATCATCAAGATCAATAATACAACCATCAGTCCCTCCCCTCATACCAGAGTACTAGGTGTAATCCTAGACTCCCATCTGTCCTTTCAGCCCCAAATCCAATCGCTGTCCAAATCTTGTAGACTTCACCTCCACAACACCTCCAAGATACGCCCGTTCTTAACCTCTGAAACTACTAAGCAACTTATTCACTTCCTGGTTATATTTTGCCTTGACTATTGTAACTCCCTCCTCATTGGCCGACCTCATCGCAGGCTATCCCCTCTTCAGTCTACAATGAATGCTGCTGCCAGACTCATCCACCTTACTAGCCGTTCCATATCTGCTATCCCTCTCTGCCAATCCCTCCACTGACCTCCATTCAGTGTCCTCCACCCCTCTCTGCCAATCCTCCACCCCTCTCTGCCAATCCATCCACCAGCCTCCATTCAGTGTCTTCCACCCCTCTCTGCCAATCCCTCCACTGGCCTCCCATTGTAGAATGAATAAAATTCAAAACATTAACAATAACAAATAAAGCCATTTATAACTCCACCCCAAATGACATCACCAATCTTGTCTCTGATTATCACCCAAACCGTCATCTCCGCTCCTCCCACGACTTCCTGCTCTCTAACTCCCTTGTCTCCTCCTCCCACGCTCGTCTCCAGGACTTTTCCAGAGGTTCCCCCATCCTCTGAAACTCTCTACCCCAATCTATCCGACTATAACCTACTCTGCTCACTTTTAGGTGATCTCTGAAAACCGATCTCTTCAAGGAAGCCTATCCTGCCCTCAGCTAATAACCAAACCTTCTATTCCTCCTACCAGTCCCTCCCCCACAGTTATTACCTTTTGTACCACTAGCCCCCCCCCTCTTAGAGTGTAAGCTCCCAGGATCAGGCCCTCCTATCCCTCTTGTATTGAACTGTATTGTTGCTATATTGTCTCCCTTTATATTGTAAAGTGCTGAGCAAACTGTTGGTGCCATAAATCCTGTATAATAATAATAATAATAACAATAATAATAATATGTGTTAAAGCTGAAGGAAGTGTAAATGGGCAGAGATTTGTGCGTTCCTCGGACACAGCCATAGATCATCACTGGAAGATGATGTGATATTCGGGGTAGGCCTGGATGTCATTAAATATCACAAACATTGAAGGGTTCTGGATGTCATCCGTCACGCTGTCATAGCAGTCGGTGGGGTTGGCTGGATTTTTGGCTGGAGGTGCTTTCATCTCATGGCTTCCAGCACAGTAGAGTCCGGTGAGAACGCGGGCCAGGTACATGTGCTTCTGTCCATTTCCATCAAGTTTGGAATATATGTCATCAGCAGAGTAACTTGCATCTACTGCAAAATAAGTTCCATTTCCATAAACAGCAGCTGTTTGAAAAGAAAGACACGTCACAGGTTAATATATCAGAGTTCCAGAGAAGTGGTGCAGCACGAGAGAAGGTCTGGAGGTGCGAGCAAAATATGGAATCACACCATGTTTCACTGTGTTTAAATGTAGTTGGTCCAATTTCACCCGGCACACATCAAAACATCACACTGGTGTGAACTGGCCCAATTGGAAACAATAGATTTCAGTACATTATAGCATTGGGCCTGTGTTAAGAAATACTATGGATGTGATGTGAATGGGCCCCAAGATACACCTCATAACACACAGGATGTGACAAGGAAGCCATACTGTACTGCACTCAATGGTAAGTCCTGATAGATGAGACATTAAAACCCAGCTTAGTTCTGGATGTAGTGGGGAAGGGTTACAGACTATGATGTGTCATATCTTCTAGAATAATGAGGTTCTAAGGTCCTGGTAGGTATATCAGTTGGTTGTAGGAGTCCTTATTAGATCCAGGCAGCACTGTAGCCACAGGCTAGGACCATGCAGTACAGTCTTCAATTAGGAAGAGAAGAGAACATGAACATGAGATTTCTGATAGTCCAGACAGAGTTTATGAGTTGCAGAGTCCTGAGGAAAGGACAAGATATTTTAGAGGTTCAGATGGCTCCTGCCTCGAGGTTTTAGAAATCTGGGCACAAGTTGGGTACCAGATAAAACCCTAACCAATGAGCAGGCTACATATCAAAAGACACTTTATTAGGTCCACCACCTTGATACAAGGCAGGATGGATCCACCACACCATGACACCACCACCACTAGCCTGAACCATTGATACAAGGCAGGATGGAACCACACCACCACCATCCTGAACCGTTGATACAAGGCAGGATGGATCCACCACACCATGACACCACCACCACCAGCCTGAACCATTGATACAAGGCAGGATGAATTCCCCACACCATGACACCATCACCACCAGCCTGAACCACTGATACAAGGCAGGGATGGATCCCCCACACCATGACACCACCACCACCAGACTGAACCATTGATACAAGGCAGGATGGATCCCCCACACCATGACACCACCACCACCAGACTGAACCATTGATACAAGGCAGGATGGATCCACCACACCATGACACCACCACCACAGCCTGAACTGCTGATACAAGGCAGGATGAATCCATGCTTTCATGTTGTTTACGCAAGATTCTAACCATACTATCTCAATGTCGCGGCTGAAATCCAGACTCATCAGACCAGGCAACGTTTTTGCCAGTCCTCTATTGTCCAATTTTGGTGAGCTGTGTTAATTGTAGCCTTCGTTTCCTGTTCTTAGAGGACAGGAGAGTGGCCCCTGGTGTGGTCTTCTGCTGTAGCCCATCTGCTTCAAGGTTGGATGTGTTGTGCATTCAGAGATGATATTCTCCTTACCTTGGTTGTAACGAGTGGTTATTAGAGTTACTGATGCCTTTCCATCCTCTGGAACCAGTCTGCCCATTCTCCTCTGACCTCTGGCATCAACAAGTCATTTTCCTCTACACAACTGCCACTCACTAGACATTTTCTCTTTTTCGGACCATTCTTTGGAAATCCTAAAGATGGTCCGTGCGGGAAAATCCCAGTAGATCAGCAGATTTTGAAATACTTAGACCAGTCCACCTGGCACCAACAACCATGCCACGTTCAAAGTCACTTAAATCCACTTTCTTCCCCATTCTGACGCTCGGTGTGAACTTCAGCAAGTTGTCTTCACCACATCTAGATACCTAAATGCATTGAGTTACTGCCATGTGATTGGCTGATTAGCAGTTTGTGTTACCAAGCACATGAACCTAATAAGTGTAAGTAATAAGAGTGTATATCTGTTATGGATTGATTTGGTACCCAGCTTGTGCTCAGACTACCTTCAGCTAAAAGTCTAAAGCCCAAAGGAAGGAGCCATCTGAACCTCTACAACATCTTGGAATTTCCTTAGGACTCTGCAACTCAAACTCTGTCTGGACTATCAGATTCTTCATGGAATTCTTTTCCATTTCTGTTTTTTGAAGGTTTTTATTACTGTCTCTGTCTCTGAAGAGGAGATTTCCTACAATCCCTTCTTCTAGTGAAAACCTATGTGTCTGCGATTGTTGTAAAATCTGCAAAGTTTGGGATTAAGCTTCTGAACGATCTTCAAGTTGTCTTCTGATCGAGTCAACCGTCTGCCCACACTTCTGCGGTTGTCTATCTCACTACAGCATCACCAGTTACAGAGATCACATTTCCAATACTTGGACTGGGGAAGCAGAACGGACAGAGACAAAACCTGGTGGAGAAATGTCATGGTGTGTATAGAAGAGTCAGCTCTGATGTCCAGCATGACGTCAGCTGCAGAGTTACATGTCCATTGGAATTCCCAACCCCCAACTGTCCAACTATCTCCCACTCTGTCTACTTTTAGGAGAGCCCTGAAAACTTTTCTCTACAGAGAGGCCTCTCCTACCCCCACCTAGCAACTGTACCTGTATCTTCTCCACCAGCTCATCCCCCACAGTTATTACCTTTCCTATCACTTGATCCTCCCCTTTAGATTGTAAGCTCCAGTGAGCCGGGCCCTCGGATTCCCCCTGTATTACATTGTATTGTAACTGTACTGTCTGCCTTCATGTTGTAAAGCGCTGAGTAAACTGTTGGCGTATATAAATCCTGTATAAAAGTTGGATCCAATTTGCTGCAACAGGGGGAAATCTTTTCTGATCCCCAAAGGTCACCATACACATTACAAACTAACTGTGCAATCAGCTTCAGATTTAACAAAACTATGTGCTGTGGGGATCTACCTAACATATCCAATCAATTAGCATCCAATCAGACAGATCCTTGCACTACATACTTGTTCGTAAAATCTAAAGAATGTAATGTGTATGTGAGCCGTAGGCAAGTGGCCCAATGTGAGTTATGGGCTGGAGGCTTGATGAAGAGACTCCTGTGAAAGCTGAGCTGGGGAAGGGATCCCTCACTGAGGAGCATTGCAGGGGAGCTGGGTGGAATCTGCTGCCTGGACATTGCGAGAAGAACCCATCAATTATAGTATGGGTGCCAGATATTGTAGGCAGGGCCGGTGCTTCCACTAGGCAAACTAGGCAGGAGCATTCTCTCTGTGTGGGACACCCCATGTCATGAACGATCCTTCAGCTGAGGCGAGGGGCGGCAGAGGGGGAGGAAGAAAGGACAGAGGAAGGT